TGCCAAAAGGATAGATAACATACCAACTAAAAGGGAAATCTTGAGATTTGTAGGACGTTTCTTTGATCCACTGGGGTTTTTAAATCCATACACCATTCGAGCTAGGATTTTATTACAAGATTTATGGGAACAAAAGATAGCATGGGACACTGAAATACCAGAAAATCTCAGAAAGAATTGGCAAAGCTGGTGTGATGAATTAGCTCATATTTCTAGTTTGGAAATACCAAGACATCAGTTTGCAGGTGCTGGGAAAAGGGATATAAAGGATGGTTTACAGTTACACTGTTTCACAGATGCGAGTCAGAAGGCCTATGGGGCTGTTCTGTATTTTCGTTATTCGAAAAATGGAGTCATTCATACAAGTTTCATTACATCAAAATCACGAGTAGCACCCTTTGAAAAAAATTATCACTTCCCAGATTGGAATTGATGGGTGCTTTGATAGGCTCGCGCTTGTCAAATTACATCAAAAGAAACTTCGGGACATTGATTTAATTGTATATATGTGGACTGATTCTAGTATAACGTTACACTGGATTAGAAGTGATGTGAAAAGGTGGAAGCCATTCGTTCAGAACAGAGTGAAGGAAATACAGAAGAATTCAGATGTCTTGAACTGGAGATATACGCCTGGTGAACATAATCCAGCTGGTTTACTAACTAGAGGTGAAAATGTACTATGGGGAGGCTTTTGGGAGCGTATGGTTCAGTCTCTTAAAGCTCTTCTGAAGAGAATCTTAGGAAAATCATCCTTGACATTCAGGGAATTAGAGACAGTCATAACAGAAGTGGAAGCTACATTGAACTTCAGACCTTTGACATTTACATACTCGGATTTAGGAGAGCCAGAATCTTTGACCCCTGGTCACTTCTTAATAGGAAGACGATTACTATCATTGCCACAAGGAAGCTCTAAATTAACTTCAACAAAGGAGAGTCTTACACGTCGATTTAGACATCAACAGATTCTGGTAGAAAGAATCTGGCGAAAATGGAGGCAGGATTATTTGATGAATTTAAAATCTGCTCATCATTCCAGATTACTGGGTGTCCGAATTAACGGGAACTGTTTGAAGAAAGGAACTATTGTATTAGTGCATGAAGATAAAATTCCACGGCTGATGTGGAAGATGGGCATCATAAATGGAAGTCTTTCCTGGAAGAGATAGATGGCAAAGGTGAGAGCCTGTACTGTCCGCTTGCCCAATGGACCATACGAATTAAAAGACCAGTGCAACTACTATATCCAGGTGGAGCTGGAATGTAATAAGGACAATTACGGCAATTGTCCTTCTTGGGCCGGAGGATGTTGCAACTCAACTCTTGCTGAGATCCGATGGCTGAGTGACGTCATCTCGAACTATGAACTCTCGCTTAGAGATCGTACGAGAACTCGGGAACTGAGAAGTCGCACGCTGCGTCGTGCGAAACATTTAAACCCTTTTCATTATGTAAAAATTCTGTAACCGTTACGCTCTTCATTAAATATGTTTGCGTTAAAGAATGTTTATCATTTATGGATTATTCCCTCTCAAGATTTTGCAGATAGAGTCCCCTGAGAAAGAGGAGATGCATCAACCAGTGGCCCTTGGCAGAACCCATTGGAACAAGGTAAGCAGTTTTGTTTTACCTTGATTAATTAGTTAGAAGTAAGATAAAGGATATAAAATAATAATACTTCATTAGAAGCTCACGATAACTTAAAATATTAATTATATATTCTCTTTATCTCCTGAGGAAAACGAAATTTTTCTCTTTCAAAATGACAAAATTTTAAAAGCACGTAGTTTAGAACCTAAGAATGACTTTTGGAATTACGTAATTTGGACGAAGTAAAGTATCCTAATTTTAAAAAAGGTGCATTTCATTTAACACCGTTCATTGGCTCTACCTAACTGTGTGAATCTGTATTTTCAACGAGGAATATAATTAAGACAACATATCGCTCCTGTCTCACAGACGGTCATTTAGAACCGCGATGTTTTATATTTAAAATTTCTTTATTATTAACGAATAATTAAAAAACGAACAGCAAAAAAATACACTAAAAGAGTAATATCAATGAAACAATCAAGTATGGTCAGTGAGTTGCGTGTACTGAATGGTTCAGAGCCAGTTTCTGAACGTTCGATTAAATACTGTTAGAGAGATAAAGGCGCAAGTCCGCCTTTTCACGATATGGAGTCGACGTCTCTTTTTTGTGTCAATTCTTTGTCCATGGCATGAGCTTTCCCCGATTTAACAATTAATTTTGATATAGTACTATAAGAGGCCTATCAAAGCAGCGTCGCATTTTTTTATGAGGTTACTAGTAAAACTCAGACAGACTGTGCCTTCAGAAACTTGGCTCTGATATTCGAGAAAAATGGCAAATCTTTATTCTGTTTGTCAGGATGAGTTTTTTTAGATTCATCTCACTATTCGTAGAATTGCATGAGGGGAGTCGTCGCGTAAGTCCGTTTTATTGCTGATACAAATTGAGTAAATTGAATAATCGATTTAATAAATATTCTGGGGAGTTTTTAAATAAATGTTTTGGGAAGTTCGAATGCCAAAACATGCTCATCGTCTCTCAGCATCCTTCCACTGCTCCCAGGGGGCGATACCGCCCCCGTTGAGAACAAATGCTATAGAATGTATACTAAAATAGTAAATTAAAAATTCCTGAGAATAACACCTTCCAAAATTTACTTCGGATTTCCTTCAGTACTTTCAATTAAATGTTTTATCTTCTATATATTCTTTAACGCAAACAAAATTTAAGGTCATAAAATGTGTTTATATGGTACAATATTTAGAATGTACAATATTAGATTCAGACTAGTAGCATTAAAATATAAAGGATATTTTACAGAAATTTTATGTAAAAAAGAGATCTTACAGAGTACTAAAAATATAAAATAAAAAATAATTAATTTTAAAATTTTAAATTTTAGTAAATTAATAAATTCTTTTTAGTTTTCAAATTAAAAATTTGAAAAGGCTATGAATTTTAATGAAGCATTTTATTCATATTGACTATATGACACAAATTTTAGTAATTAATATGAAAAAGATTTAGCCTCTTTTTCAGCAAATGGGCACCTCTCAAATTCAGTGCCTGCTTGCTAAGCACTTGAATATAAGGACTTCATATCTATAGCAGTGTTATCGACTTAGCTTACTTCTAAACATTTATGAGTATGATTTCCTTAAGGCGAAGCTTTTTCCGATAGCACATCTGCAAAAGATAAGATTCTTCCTCACAAAGTCTCTGCTGACATTGAAGACATCTGTGTACAGCGAAGCATCAAATAAATATAATAATTTCCTTTCAAGGTGAGATTTTGTTTCTTTAAGACGAAGCTCTCAGTTCAGAAACGATCGTAAGATGAATAGAGATTTGATGAGAGATGATATATGAAATGCTAATCTGGTAGCCTGCTATAATATGAATTAAACTTTGAAGGAAAATAATACCATGCCAAGAAGTAGTTTTTGAACATGGGTTTAATTTAATGAATTTTAAATGATCACTCAGCATTTATCTTTTATTTTCGCGTAAAAACTAGGGTAATTGATCTTATGTATGAAAAAAATACTATGCAGCTTTTCAGTAATGTTAAACCAATCGCATTTCTGAGAGCCAAAAACGGGACGCTGTGACTGCACAAACAACAGGAAGATTAAAATTGATAGAAATTGCTTTATAACACAAACATTATAAGCTTATCACTACTTACTATTCTGTAACTGTTGGAATCCACCGCTTTGCATTTCACAGTCTAATATGTGTGAGAAAGTATAAACATAATTTTGCAGTTTTAATTATATTTTACTCACGTTTGAGTAGCAACAGGTCTATCTCTTTTTTCGCTCGTTCAAAAATATTAGAATGATGTTTTTGTTTTTGGTTAGCGTTCTGTGATTAATGTTTATCGAGAGAGTTATAGTAAATTTTGAGAGAAAACCTAGAGAAAGTATACTAGAAAAATATTAGAGACGTCTTTACTCAATAATATGATTTTATGAAATTTTTAAGAAACGTTATACATTTGTCTGAGGCGATATAAATGATTCTCGTCTTTGATCATCTCTAAATAAAGATCTGTGAATTTTCTGAGTGAAAATGTTTCTTCTGATTACAACAAAACTGGATTCTTTACAACAAAACTGGGCACTAAAAAATCCACACAAACACACAATATTTTCCTGGTGAAATTACCTTACGTAGCCTTTTAGTCTTTCTGTATCTTTCATATTCCACGAAACAGTTATATAACAAAATTTAACATAGTTTTTGTTGTCTACCTATGTTGCCCAAGATTTCTGATTTGGCAACTTGGCCCACAGTAAAATCAGTAGTTCGATCGGAAGCTCGTCAGAGTTTTTGTGGGTTTTCCCCACGTGTAACGTGTATACGAGCCAATTTCCCTTAAAAAGACCTCGACGAAGGCACCCTTTCCTTAGACAGATAGCCTTCGAGGCTTTGCCGTAATCACATAAACCAAACCTTTGGCCACATGTTACTTGTAACAGAAAAACCTTTTCAATATTTTAACATTGATATTTTCGAGTATTTCAGAAAAATGTTGCATTTAATCTAGCAGATGCAGTAATATTATCGTTATTCGATGCATTTGCTTATTATTTAAAAAAATATTTGAAAACTGCATTTATCAATTAAACATTTCAGACAATCCAACTAAATATCGACAGGGCGACCAGGAAATATTGAAAAACTGTATGAATCGACAGCAAAGATACAGATATGCAAGTTTTTTTCATTTTATTAAGATTAAAAAAATTCTCCTTTTTTTAATTCTTCACCATGTAATGTTTTTAGTACATTTTGAAATAAGCAATGATGCTGAAATATTTGGTTACTCATTGCTATTTTCTTCAAGACACATTTATGCACAGTAGCAATTCTTTTTTCAGAAGTGTAGAGTTTTTTTTTACGGAATCAAATGTGGCAACACTGTTTTTTCCAATACAGCGTTTTTTCAAATGTAAACATAGCAGAACAGAGGTCATTTTTTTTTATATGTCTTTGAACACAAGCGATTGAAGCCGTTTTTTTCTTTAAGCATGATTTTTCTAAACTTGTATAGTAAAAAGAAAGATTGAAACATAATTTCCTCAAATAAATTGTGGACTTGACGTAATACAGTTTACTTTATTTAAAAACACGCTTACCGCCATCATATTTTTTTTTTTTTTTTTACAATGGCATGTCTTTTTAAAAAAGAATGTCTCATGTCGGATATTTTACTTATATTTTTAGGTACATATCCTAATATTTTCAGAAGTTTTACGTGGTATGAAAATGTGACTTAATTTCATCCAGAAAACGTCTCATGTTACAGTAGTTTCAGACTTGTTTTTTTTTCATGCGAGTAAGGAATGGCTCCACCACTTGGCGTTTATAAATTTTATCGCCAATTGGAGCTTCAAGTTTTAAGAAGCTGTCCCGTACAATATTAGTTTTAGAATTATAATTTTAAAAACTTCATCAAAAGATGTGTCTGATTAATACGCTGTATATGTATATGCATTTTTAATTATAATCATTTAGAATTATATTTTGCGTTTGGAATATTTATATCAGTCACATAATAATGTTTACCAGTTACCATATTTGGCGTAATATTGCTTGCCAACATTATTTTTATTAGTTTTTTAAATGTTATCCATTTTGACAGTTGATGGAAGCTGTCTTTTCAACAGCGTTATACCGTATTTAAGATTTATGTCTTCTGTAGCACAGAATTTTGTATAAAAAGTTACTGATTAATTTTCGAATAAAATCGGATGTGACAACTTGTTGCTCATTAACTTATACTGTCTAAAATTTGCGATGGCATTCTGAGAAGAAGTAAGCTGTACGGTTCCTTTTAATAATGTAAGTTATATGTCTTTAATTAATATGCCCTGAAATAGCTGTAATTTCTTATACTTGGCTGTATTAGATATGTTTATTTTCGTATACTTCGTTATATCATTTATTAATGCCGAGTATGATGCGAAATTTGAATAATGTAACTGGTTGTAAGAATTAGTTCTTCATCTGCATTTAACTTTTGAAAACGTATATAATTTATCCACTTAGTGTACTTAATTGTTATGATAATCGGCTGTTAACAATTTGCATATGATCATATTTATATTTTTTATTAATTTCGTTAGTTAAATAAAGTAATTAAATATTTTTTATACCCCTAATCTTATTTATATATGTTTATGTAAAGAATTTTTTATGCAAAAGGATTATTCATTTTTATATAGTTTTCATTTTCTTAAGCTTCATATTAGTTTTTTTTTTATTTGGGGGTGAATTCATTCCACTGGAATATGTTATATTTTTAGCATTTTTAAATAAGTTAATTCTAGTTGTGTGTCACATGTGTTTATTTATTATTGATAGAAAATTGTTTTGTGTTCAATATTTGTTTCTTTCTCCCTCATTATCTTTCCAGCTCTACTTTTGATATTGCTTCCACAAAGGCAATTCTGTTGTCTCTGTACATACCTATTTTTCTCTGTATATACTGATTTTTCTCCTATATAAATTTTTAGTTTCATTATTTTTAACATGTGATATAAATTTTTTAGCTTTACAATAATTTGAATGCATGACATATTATTCATTAGTATGGCTAATTATATACATAGCACTGATTTGAAACTATTTTGAAAATTCTGAAAACTTAAGGAATACAGTGCATTTTTAGAGTTCAAATGAGCTACCTCAAAGGCATTAAAATATTAATGAACTGATTAAAAAATAGTAAAATTATAGGAATTACATATTTTTATGTATGTATGTATTTCATGTAAAAATAAGTAAAATAGAAGTTCTCACATTGTAATTTTATCACATTTTATATTTGAAGTAATGAAATTTAAAAGTTGTCATGCATCTTTAACTCACAATTACAAGGGTATGTAAATCATTGTCTTTCTTAATTTTTTACTGATAAGTAAACTTCGTAAGAAGAAAGTATGTGTTACTTTTGAAATTTGTTTACATGTAGTACAATATGCTATAAAATGATTAATTTCAGATTCTGAAAACTGTAACTCATCACTGAGTATATTTTATTTATTTTTGCAGTGTTTCTGTTAGTGGTAGGAATGATTTTAATATTGAAAATTGCATTTTGAAAATGTAAGTGAACAGTTGTATTTTTATTTTCAATGATTAAAAACAACATTCTCAGAACTGTAGTACTGTTTAAATGCAGAGAGCTGAGGAAAAGAAATTTAGCTTTGGAGGTTTTTGAGTATTTTTGGTAAATCCTAGAAGATATGTTTTTCTAAATACTTGCTTATGACAAAATGTCAAGCTCAGAAATTATCATATAGCATAAATTTACCGAGAAACAACTGTAAAATAGTATATTATATATTTATTGGTAATGCCAAAAAGACTGATTGCCATGTTCAGAACAATTTTATTTTTTTAACAAATGCCTTATTTATTTCATACTGGCACATCTACTTAGAACAGATCATATTGTACAATAAAATATAATCATGTGGCTCTGTATTTAAAGTAAAAGTTTAAAATAATGTTAGAAGGATACTGTATTGTACTGTCAAATAAAATAATGCAGGAAGAATTTTCCACTGAAAATTACCATATAAATTTTACACATTTATTTCTGGTAACATTAAAGCACATATGTTATTCAGATATCATATGTTTTTAACTTTGTCGTTATTTTAACTACAGAGTATCTGAAATATTGAAAAATTGTTTCTCTAGCTTTTGGTTACTGCTATAAGTAAAAATTGCATACCACATTTTACTGCAAATTAAGTGAAAAAGTAAAACCCTCCAGCAAAGTAAAGCAGTTAATATTTACCATGTTGCAGTTAAAGACTATTTTAAATTTATTTAAAGTACTATGTTCATATTGTACATAATAAGAAGCAAGTTAAAAAGCTTGCTTCTTATACCTGTTACTTCTTACACTACTTCTTATATTTGATATGATCAATTTTCAATTCTAATCTTCATTCTTATTCATATTCTACCTTGTATTATGCTGAGCTAGATCTTAAAACTAACTAAACTTAATTATCAAGTGCCCATATTAGATAGCAGTGGTGGAAGTAATTTCAATTATTCATCTGATATGATCCAAAGACTGGTAGATAAACAATATCTGACATGGTCCTGAGACTGATAGATAATCAGAGTTTGATTGTATGATTTTTACAAATATACTGTCATATTTTTTTTTTTTAATTTTCTCCATTAGCTTGTAAGATATTTACACAATTTATTAAAAGTAATGGCAATTTGTTAAAAAAAACATGCATAGTTTATAAAGTTGCAACTTTAATTTTGTCATGTCTACTGGAAATTCTGACTTAAGTAGCATAAGAAAAATTCAGTATGATTTTTGATTATTTTATATAAAAATAGAAATTTTAAATTTGGCTAATTTGATTGATCTTTGTTGTCTGTTTTGATTTTTTTTTTTTTTTTTTTTTTTTTTTTTTTTTTTTTTATGTTTCCCATTATGCCTTTTGAAAAATATTATCTGTTGTTAACTGTTGTCTCTGTTTTTAAGCATATAGTATTTGTTAAAATTTCATATCCTGTGCAATATTTCATTTCAGTTCATAAATTGCATATCACAGCCTCTCTTCCTACTAAGGATATTCAAGATTCAGGATGAATCCTCATGAAGTTGAAGGGTTGCGTGAAATACTTAGTTGCCTAAGTTTGGATCACCTGAAAGAAATTGCCATGATAACTACAAGCCATATGATGGATGATCATTATAATGGTGTACAAGCACCTGATTTAGTGAATGAAATAATAAAAAGTGCTTCAAATGCTTCAGAAGTCCTTCATCGCCAAAAAGTATCAAAGGAACTACTCTTGAAATACCTGAGGAGGAAAGGTTTTGATCCTGATCCAAAAAGCAAAAAAATTGTGTACATCAAAACTTGTTTATCCTTGTGGAATGCTTGTAATGAGGTGAAACCTCAAGCATTTTAAGTATATTTGATGCATTTCATATCACTGTGTATCAGAGATGCTTGAAATTTCATATTGTTGTGACCTAGTATTTGTTTGTTCACATGTGAATCCTTAGCTTTAAAAAAGCATTTTTGTCCATGTTTTAGACTTCAGTTTTGTGATGTATGTAATTTTTATAGAATTTTTGTAATCAGTTGCAAGAAATACTGATTTCACAAAAGTGGCATTTAAATTATAAATAATTTATGTGACTATCATAGGATGCATTTCTTGCTGCAAGAATTAGTAGCACAGAAATTAAGTCTTCAAAGAGAAGTTATCTGTGATTATAAAGCTTTTGTAAATATATTACATACTTTACCAGCACAATTTTGTCTGAAGGTGCTCTGGGTGTTATGAGTTTGTCTTAAATGCCAAACAAACAAACATGATATATATATATATATTCTTAAATATTAAGTGAAGCAGCATCAATTGTATTTTTTTAAATCTCTAAATCATTATTATAATTCATCTCATGATGCAAAATCTCTGTGGCTGTCAGATCCGTAAGTGTTTGATTCATGATCATCATCATGCATTAATAATATTTCACTCATTAAATGCATTCTGCAACCATAAAAGAAGCATATTTCTAAATTTAGCTGAACAAGTATCTTTATTTATTCCTTATGTATTGATACAGTTGTTAGTATCAGTTTAACTAAGAATAAATGTTTTTCAATTATATATTTTATGTAAGATACCAAAACTTGGTAGCATATACCGTAAGAGGTGGAAAAATAAAAATTGTAATGCCAGCTTAACTGTTCATTCTGAATGCAATTAACTATTTGGTTGGCGAAGCATTCTAAGGTTATTTGCCTTGGGATGAAGTTGAGAATTTTTTAAAGGAAATTCATTGATATTCATTGATTCATTGATTGGAAATATCATATAAATACTATGCTACCTGTCAGGTGTCAGATATTGAACCAGAGTGAACTATCAATATTCAGCAGATTTGCCTAAGGCTGTTATAACAGACATATGGCTGCTAGATTATACATATATTCTGTTTGTATAGAAACATGAGTCCCTAGGATTTGCAATATTTTGGCATTCTTAGCCTCAGCTTGAATAAAAGAGTCTTAAGCATACCATTCGTTTAAGTATTCTCAATGGCCATATTCATTTTTCTTGTGAAGGAGAAAAGAATTATAAAGGAATTTTAGGTTGAATTTGAAATTCCTTAAAATATGAGGTTCTAGGCTTCTTGGCCTTAGCAATAATTAGAGTGAATCCTTAACTTTACCAGTTCTTTCAAGAATAACCATATACATGTGAAAGTGTATGCCCTTATATTCCAAGGCTCTTCTGCAGTGTCCATCCATTAAGGTGGGACTGATCTTATCCATTCAGCACTTCACTTAAAGCAAAAATTTTGAAATAAGACAATTTTTGTTAAAAAAAAAGGAATTAAATTTTTATAATAAGCAGGTTAGTGCAAATTCATATTTATTTTTACTTAAATTTATCTGTATGCTCAAATCTTATAATGCTTATGCTTATTACAAATGACAAATTTTGAAGAGAGTTCTAGCTCATATTAATAAAACTTAATCTTAAAATTGTTATAATTAATGTAATGCAATCAGTGTTTTCCAAATATCAAAATATTTTTGAGTTTTGCAGAAAAAATTATTATTGAAATAACAAATTACAAATTATGTTTTGTTTCATTATAGTTTTTAAGTGTATAATAACTATGCCATTCGTAACAGTTTGCATCTCTGTGTGTTTTTTGTTGTTTGTGTTGCAGAGATTTTTTTTCATATTATTAAAATTATTGTTTAGTATCTAATATGATATATTCATCTTATTACTTGTACTAATGCTGGGCAGTATTATTTGTTTTGAATTTCATGACAAGAAAATTTACAGTACTAGAAATAAACAGTAAAATAAACAGTACAAGAAAATTTGGATTTTCTCAACTTTGAATGATTATTGACAAGAGATCAACTATGCTGTATAATTCTCTAAGAACTGAAAAGAGCTTCAGTATTTAAATGCACCAATTAAAATATAATTTTCCTTAAAAAATTTTTAAAAAATGATTTCTTAATTTACACTTTCTGGATTACAGTAAAAGATTAAAAAAGTTTTCAAATTAATGAGCAAAAGAACATAAAAATTTTCTTAGATCAGGATCAGGTCAGTTAATTGATTTGTTTAGAAACTTTTATACTCTGAGTAATGTATGTACTAATCCATTTAGAAATGGCATGTTTTAACTTACTCTTTGGTAGCTTACAAGTATAAATAATTTTTCTTTACATTCATTGATGCAAGCTAAATGCTAATTTTTTTCTATGAAGCTATGTGATTTTTTTTACCAAGTTTCAATCTTATTATGTGAACTTTTATTTCACTTTATTTAAGTATATCATGGGATGTATTATTGCTATTTATCAAATAAAAATATAGTGGAACACAGTTTGTGTCTAAAATTGTATATGAAAAGCATACACTAGCAACAACTTTTATGTACTGAAAATTTTTATGCTGGCTATATTTCATAATATATTCAGATAATTTGCTATCTGTTCTCTTGCATTTATGAACTGTAGTATTATGTTCTAGCTCATATTAATAAAACTTTATCACTTTATATAATAACTTTCATCAGTGCTGTGATTTTTTACAGAATTTATATATGGTGTTATTTTTAGCATCTCTGATACACATCATAATAACATACTACCTCAAAAATTGTGTGTTTTTTTAGTATATCCTGCAACTTTTTTCAGGAATGTTCCAAAGAAAGCATTTTTATTTTATTCATAAAATTTTCAATCATAGTATTTGTTTTTGTCTCAAAAGTATTGCACATTTATACATATATTGTCCATCTAAAAACATTCCATTCATCATATGCGAACTAGAGTTACATAGTCTTACGTAAAACAATTCAATAAAAATAGCTAAAAAAGGCATATAAAAAGAAAATTGTTTTTTATAGTTTGCTAAACAGTACTTTTGTACCAAACAGAAGGCTCTATTCAACTAAATATTTGTGCTATTGCATTTTCTGTTGCAAGATGATTAATTTCTTCTAAATAATCAAAAATTTGTATTTGGATGCACAAGTTTATGAATTTGATTTAATTTTATACAAAGAATGCATCTTCATTCCACACTTTTCATCACATTATTACAGTATAATGTAATAATTGTTTTATATGTGTGTATTAGAAATATTTTTATTCAGTATTAAATATATTTTTGACATGTAACATTAAACAGTGAAAGTCAAAGATTTATATATTTACAAGGTGGGCCAAATAAGACCTATTAATGTTAAACATGGATAATCTGGCAATACTAATTTATTTTGATTAATTTTTTTAATACATTAAATATGTTTTATGGAAATTATGTATGAAATATGACATGAGACAAATGTCTATCATTTTTCGCGGTATAGAGATTGGCTCTCTTTAACGCGTTTTTTATTAAACCATGTAATGTTTCTAGTTGAACGCTCAGTATTTTGTCTTGAATATTCTGCTTCAGCTGTCTAATAGTCTCTGGTTTATTAACATATACTTTACCTTTTAAATATCCCCATAAAAAAAAAAGGATTCTGCTCCACCATTGGCCGCGAATGCTTTCATTGTTCTGTAAGAAGTTCCGGAAATTGTTTCCGACATTCCATCCTCATTCTCGAAGAAATGTGGGCGGACTCTATTGGCCATAACACCACACCAAACAGTAAACTTGAATTAAAATATTGCCGATATTTAACCTGCGTCATGACAATTGATCGTTGACAAGAATTGAAAAACTCAGTAATTTTAATGCATTGTTTTGTACTGTATGGTTCCCTAATAAATTTCCAAAAATTCAATTATAACCTACAAAAAGAAAAAAATAATTATATCAAAAAATAAAAAAGTTATTTGTGTTTAACATTGGTAGGTCTTATTTGGCCCACCCTGTATTTCCATATGCAAGAATTTTTGATTTTCTTGTAATTTGTTACTCTTTAATAACTTGATTTTATATCTTTAAAACTTTTAGTATCATTTTATTCTGTACTGTTATTTTTTTTGTAAATGTAATTTTATATTTTAAGATATGTGATTAGATGTTATTAGGTTGGGAATTTAACAGTTTGCTATATTTGATGTATAGTGTGAAGTCATAATGATTTAGAAAACCTCTTATGCCATTTTTGTTACTTCTGATTATCCACAGCCTCTTTCTAGAAAGTCATTAACTATTGCTGATTAATTTTTTACAAAGCTTACGAGAGACAACAGCCACTTAAAAAAATTCCAGCATAGTATGAATTACATAGTATGAAATTTTAGCAGCCAAATTAAGAAAATTAAAAATGCAAGAAACTTCCATAATAAAACACTTACTTCTCTGTGTTTTGTTCTGCCTTTGTATGCAGCGATTTGTTTTAATAATAATAATAAAAAAAAAAAAAAAAAGAATTGCAGAAATTTGACATTGTGCAATGGGCTAATACGCAAATTGTTGTTCTCCCCATGTATGCAACAGTCTGTTTCAGCTTCAGAAGACATAAGAAAATTGCACAAATTTTTATTTTTAAAATTCGATCATTCAGGAAATATAATTTTATGAAATGTGAATTTTTGCATTCTTAATTGTTAGGCAGAACACCATATTTCAGAAGAAATGCAAGACTTTCTTTTTCATCAGCCAGCAGGGATGATTTGTATTCCTTACAAAGGGGCCAAATTACATTCAGTGCACTTCCCCCCCCAAAAAAAAAACAGTTTTGTCCTTGCAGCAAAAACAACTATTAATGACAGGTGCTTATCTGTTGAGCACATGCACATGTACCTGGATTTCCACATAAATACAATTTGTTGATGTCTTGGTTTGCCTGTTTTGGGAACATAGCATGTTCCTTTCAGGGAGTGCAGGTAATCAGAAAAAACCCAGTTTTTTAAAATTATATATCAGTTTTTTTTTGGGGGGGGAAGTACTCTTTTTTTTTTTTTCCTACAAATTTAAGAAAGTATTTCATGTACTGTGTAGTTAATTCCTCTTAAGCAGTTTATGACAGACATTTTAAAAGATTTTTATTTTTTATATTTGCAATGAAATACACATGCTGATAAATTCTTAACTCTATTTACTAAATTACAGAAAAATTATATGTAGTCATTAAGATATCTACCTGATGAATAGCAATATTCATCATAACATAAAATTTACAATATTTTGTGTTTTACTATCTAAGTATATGAATTTTTCAGTATGTTACTGTTATGAATTCTGAGGTTAACATACGCTGAATTTTAGAAATTAATAATTTTAGTAAGTTATAACTCGCCCCAGATTTTCTGCACTGATTTTTCTCATCACAACCATATATTCATCTTTTGTGTAAGTGATAGTGTTGTGAACAAAAATTATTATTATTCATAAAAAGTAGGTACATGCTACAGAAACAAAATAGGTGGATAAAAAATTATTTCAAGCTTCTTGGACCTGAATTTCTGATGTTTCTTTCTGTGTAGTAGAATTTTTTTAAAAGCTGTAAAGGTAACAGGCTTTGTTTTAAAGGCTAACATTTAAAAGAAAAAATCAATATAAAAAAAATCAATATCAACTCTTGCTTTAATGCATTTGAAGATAACAGTATGTGAAAGAATTTGAAAGCATTCTTATCCATTATTTCCAATTCTGTATCTGAATCAAGTCATACTGATAGATAAAAAATTTTAAAATCTGATATGAAATTGTGTCATTAGGGGTAATTTGATTCATGCTGTTTTTGGTAAGAATTTTTAGTGGCTTTAATATTCAGTACTGCTGAAGGAATGTGTGTTGTTAAAGAACTTTAATGCCGTAAATTTATGATTTTATTTGAATGAAATCTATCTGCATAATCTAAGTAAAAGGGAAGTTACCTTAGTTCTACCTCCTGAGGGTTCATCTGATGGATTGTACTAAGACACTGGTCTAAAGTTGGATGAATTAAGCTTTATGTTTTCATTCTATCTACTTTTTAGATTTATGAGTCGTCTGTTTGTGTTAGTCTTTAGTTATTCTTAATTTCCAGAAGTTTCACTACTAGCATTTTGGATGAGGATTAGCTATAATAATTTTAGGCAAATGTTTTCTGAAAATAACTTTTGCCTTCCAGTTTTTGACATAAGAGTTAATATTTTTAAAAAAAATCTTCTCCAGGCTAAAGAAGTTTCCACCACCTCCTTCCAATTTCTTGTTTAAGCTGCTACTTATTTTATTTGAATTTTTGGAACTTTGCAATTATTCCCCTCTCTTCTTGCAAGCTTTTAATAATCATAAACTAGATTTCTTTGCTGTCACTGTTCGTAAATTAATTTTTAATGAAATCTAATTAACTGTTGTCTGAGTAGATAAATCTTTGAATAAGAAGTAAGTAAATCAGTTATGCTAAAATTAGTTTAGTTGCCCAGCTGATAGCTAAAGAATTCAGGACTGCCAGAATTGAAACTACTGATGATAAAAAATGTAACTGCATTATTTAAAAATCATAGCCTTGATTTACCATCAATTTCTTCTGGAAATACTGAATGTAGAATTTTGTGCTGCTTATAATTATGCACAGTTTTAATTTTATTGGAAAAATAAATATGGTATGTAAAACTGTAACTTAAATTTGCTGTTTTTCTGCAGTTAAAAAAAAAAAGATTTTTTTATTTACCAAAAGGTGATTTTTTTTTTAATAACCACTTACATTTTTTAAAATTAAACAAAACAAAGGGGGAAATTGGTATAGATTTTATAGAAAATTCTGTTTTGATAACAACTGATATAGATCTCTTTTCTTCAAGAAACAAAAAATCCTAAAAGCCAAATGATTAAGAGAGGCCAAATGAATAGATGGGATGAAAGATGAAATGAAATAGAAATCAAAAAGAAAAATCCAAACTAAAAGCTAAATAATTAAAGCAAATTTTATTAAATGTGGGAGTCTATAAAGAAGTTTAGTTCACCGACTGATAAAAGTTTTGTGTATAATTTTAGCAGAACTAGGTTCTTCTGAAAAGTCTTTCAGAGTCTTTAAACTCTGAAGAATGAATTTTATTAAAAGAAGAGAAAAAAACTTAGAACTTCTGATCAGAATTCGAACAGTTTTGTAACTCACAGAAGTAAAATTGGGATAAAATTGTTCTTACTAAAAGAATATCTTTTACATGCTTAAGAAAAGAGTATTTAAAGACTTCATTTTAAAAGAGAAAGAAGAGAGAAAGAAGTCTTTGCTAAGTGAATAGATTTCAAATAATTGAGTTTAAGAGTTTCAATCCAATATTTTTATATTATAAATTAGGGATTCCCCTCCTCTCCTGAGATTGGTTTGTATGTCTTCCGTGTAACTTTACTCTCAAACAGATAACTAACTTTCTTGAAGTTTTTATGATTCACTATAAGATTATTCGGTACTTTTCCATCTTGCCGGCGCAAATATCGCCATGCAGACTTTTTTAGCGACAACATACAATATACATATAAAAAATGTTAACAAATGTTAGTTCTCAGAATTTTCTTTTTGAAAGCATAAACATTTTAATATCGTTTAAAATTTTGTAAAAAGACATTAATTTAAGAATTTACTATGCTTTCATGGTTCAACATCCTGATTGGGCAGTTTATATCACATGACCCCAAGTGATCTCATCTCGCGTAAACTGCGCTACAAAAATCTAATTCCATAATTATCTACATTAATTTCAAGTTAAATCGTAATTTGGAATACAAGTTTAAATGCAAGAATTGTTTCAATTCGTATGAATAGCTTACTCAGAAATTATGTAAAACCACAGTGCTTTACTTCGCCAGTGCATTCTCATTCGAATTGAATTTAACCCTTGACTTTGCCTTTTCTATATTTTCGCCTTCGGATGAGCGGTGTGATTGCATCCTAATTGACTTAATTACCTCGAATTGCCTTAGCGCATAAAATTGAACTATCTGGTAAAAATTCTATGTAATTGTGTGCCAGTATTGAAACAACTAATCTGATAAGAAATGGCTGCGATTTGTTTTGAAAATGAGGCGTAAAAGGTTACCAGCGAGGATATTGCGTTTGGTATCAGTTTTACCATTATTGGCGACTTTATCGCCTACGCCGGCAAAACGGAAAAGGTGCATAATATTTGTAATGTTATCATTATTAGTGTTCTTGTTTGATGTTAAAGCATATCTTAGAAGAAAGGGAAATATTAAAGAAGTATTTCTTTCTCTGAAATTTTATATGTTTAATAAGTATATTGGGGTGAAAAAGTATCTGTTTTTTACCCATACTGAATGCCGCCTGGCATGACTTTGTTTGTTTATTATTTATCATTCTTGACAACTAAATTGTTTTAGGATGAAATTTTTTTTTTATGATGGATTAAATCGAAAGCAATCCTCTAGTTATGAAAAGCCCATTTATTTCTTTTTTACAGTCATGAATTAATCTTATAGCTGCTGTTAATATCACATTATTCCCATGTCATTTATAAAAATGTGTTTGTAAAAATTTTATTTAGATATCATATACAGCCATAAATTCTGAATCTCTTCCTTGATCTTTAAGAATAATCTTTACTATTTTCAAATTTGATGATTTTTTAAAAGAAAGTAAATTTTGCTGTTCATTTCTTAAATTTTCACACCAAAAATGATTTAAATATATTTCCATATTTGCACTTCGATTGAGTTGTATTCGCTTTGATGATATGCTGCTGAGTTGTTATTACTTTTTAGGAGCATATATTTTGCTTGTAGAATATATTTAAGAATTGATTCCCAAATAAGCATTAAAGAAATCAAAGAGCGAATAAATCATATTTTCTACCTCTAAATCTATGCATTGTATGTAACTTTTGAAGTAAGCTATTTCACTTTACGTCCCAAATTGTGTTCTTCGCAATATAATTGCTGATATTTTACCGTATTGTCTTGTGTATTTGTCCTGTAGGTATAGTGTGAAGTTAGCAAAGATTTTAATCATGTTTCACTTACTGTACACAAGTGAGATTGTATTGTTTTAGCTGTATTTATTAGTAATGGAATTATTACTTGTGCTAATTTTTAATTTCTGTATTATTTGTTACATTGTCTTGAATAAAAAAAATAAACACTAAAAAAAATTGCCTTTTTTTGCATTTCATCTCTTCCCACAAGTTGCAAAGAATATGTTAAAAAAAAAGCAGTAAAATTTTTAAATATTTCTCATTCTTGGAATTTATTTAATTATAAAATTTAGAGGGAACGAAAATTGGTTATACCTAGAAGTTCTGCATGTGACCACAGCAGTACAAAGAGTAAAGGGTAGTGTATTTAATTATGGCAAAGCACACTAGGGCTATCTGCCTAAAGGCAGGGATGCCTTCGTGGAGGACTTTCTAAGGAAAACTGGCTCGTATACACGTTACACATGGGGAAAACCACGAAAACACCCATGCAGCCAGACCGTTCGCGGGATTCGAACCTCGGACCGAATTACCAGTGTTCAGCGACTTTACCGCTCGGCCGCTGGTGAGCCCAAAGAGTAAAGGGAAACTAGGCTGAAAAACTTATAAAAGAAATTTAATTTAATTTCAATAACTTTGACCTTGTAGGTATTTATTTGAATCAGGTTAAAAATGAGAGTTTCATTAGAAATACAAATATTAATACATTCTTGTAGATGTCAGAGTGAGGTTTCATGGGTGCAGTATTCATAAGTGACTGAAGTGTGTCTAAATTACATTATTGCTTAGAGAAAGTGTAATGTATATTTTGGCAGCTTAACATAAATTTCAGAGCATACTTTGGTTAAAATGTGATACAAATTTCTGCAGCTTTCAGATGTGATCTGGAGTTAAAAGAATCTTAAAACAGCATCCAGAACGTTTTCGTCAAACAGACAAGTCTGCTGACTTTTAATCATAAACCTTTTTACTGATTAATTTATATACTTAATGTTAGTAAGTTAGCAGAGTGATTGCTCTTTATGTCGTATTGCTGACAAAATACAACACATCAATACCATGGGTTTAATTTAGATGATTCATTTTAACTCATCAAAGCACTCAAGGACTATCTGCCTAAGAGATGAATACCTTCATGGAAAACTTCCTAAGGGAACTGGCTTGTAGTTATTCTATATATGGGAGCACTGTGCAGTCAGTCCTTTCTGGGATTTGGGTTAAATTTGGAAGACGAACAACAACAAAAATCTGCCTAAGACTGGTTCTGTGTGTAGACTGGCGACTAATCGCACTGTCCTAATCAAACAACTATAACTCAAATGAAGCTTTTAAATAAACCTTTTTATTAAAGCTTTCAATTTAAAAGAAGCACAGCATATGTCCTACAAAGATCATTCATGCTACTTTCGGGATTTAAGCTAATAAATAAAATATGCAATTAAACTTAAGTAATGTAATTCATGAAGCAAAGACCTACTAAGCTTTGTTTCAAGTTGCATGAACGATGTGGCTAAAAAAGGGCTAAAACCAATTTAACATAGTTCTGAGAGTTGGATGAAAAGTACGAATATCAGCATGCTGCCAAAACCTCAGTTTCTAAACTTAAAAGCTCTTTTCTTATATAAATAATAACTTATTTCCATCCTGATGGGACCTGTTGAAAGTAGAAGTGGCAGTAAAGATTAAAATAATGGGCTAATTAACATAAAACCGTACAACTGCCTTCACCAAAATTTAAATAATTTAAAAGCAAAGATCATAATGACCCTGGTACAAAATTTTTCTATTCTAAAACTAAGACTGAGCTAAGGCTTTTACACCATATTAACATTAATCTTTGTTTTACAGTGACCTTGATATTACTACAAGAACCATTTTCTATATTCAGCTTAAATCTTCACTTTCATTTCTTTCCAGGAGAGAGGGGAAAATATTATAGTATACAAATAACACTTTTGATCGCATAAAATAATACAACGACGTGGGACCTAACGGTCATGATATGTACCCATCATGGTTCATGCCCTAAATTTAAACCCATCATGGTTCAGCCTATTATCTTTCTGACAATTCTTAAATGAGATACTGAGTCAAATGTTTGAGTCGCGTTAATGGTGACTTCTTGAAAATTTTTTCTAAAAAAGAAAAGGGCCACAGAATTATTTCTGAATAACCTAGTTAATAACCATGTTGATCTTTATATTACCAGACTAAAATTTGAACAACCACTTAAGGTGGTATTTA